AAATTCCACAAGGTCGTTCCCATGTTTCTGATTGTTCTGTCAGTGTCCTGTTTTGTCCCACTGGGAGCGTTAAAAACTGTGCTGAAGTATCATTGGAACTTGCCCAAACCACCCTCATTGTTGACCATTACAGTTTGAGTAAAGCAGTATTTTCCTGTTAAGCCTGTGTGTTGTCTTAAGTATATATTTCAGTCACTTTTTAAAGATCCTTGTAGTGCTTAGTGGCAATACAACAGGATTTCCCTCATGTTAACTCGCTCTCATGTTGAATCCTTAATTGCCATTTTTAACAACATTCACAAATCAATATGGTAATGTTCTTAGCCTTAGATCAAATGCATTAATATTATCCTGCATATTCTCCAACAAACTGTCTATCAGGTTGTTAGGTGCGACATCATTTACTTCAGAACAACACCAAACAAAAAATAATGGTTTGCCTACAGAATGAGTCTAGAATCTTCTCACAGAACATGTATAAGATCTGCAGAGAGAATAGGATGAATTTCTGGTGTGTATACTAAAATTATGGGCCGAATCTTACCAGAAATCGGATAAGTGTGGAGAGTTTCTCTCCCTGAGGCTTAATGAGTTTTTTTTCACTCATTTATCCCAAACACTCCTCACGTATACCATTAACCACGCCCAGCTGGCTCCCTGATTATCCTCTCTTCCCACTCCCACCAAAAGTGGAAGTACTGTCCGCTGCCACAGCAGTCCAGGATTCCTAACACTGTATTTAAAAGGCCATTGTGCACTTGGTTAAGCACTTTCAGTCAGTACCCCTGAGTTTATTTGGCCCAGATATGGTAGATAAGGGAATTTGGACCGGAACTAGAAATCGTGATTGTGGTGCAGAGGAAGGATATCCTCTTCCTCAAGGAATGTCAGAGGAGTTTTATGACACCAGACTCTGTCAGCCTGGTTCAAACCCATGAGGCACAGATTCTGCCCCTACGTGTCTTAACAGTTTTATTCTAATTGGGTCATGCCCTTCTCGCCCTCCAGCTTCTCCATTGTTGTTGACCCTATTACAGCCATGAAGTTTCTGGCCCTGTTGACAATTTTTAAGGAACTTGGGCAATAAGTATCAATGACTGTTTGTTTGATCTAAGAGGGCATCAAAGCTGGTCCAGTCCTGTCCTCCAACTAAAAATACATATTCTTGGAGAAATTCAGCAGTTCTGGCAATATCTATGAAGAGAGAAACAGAGTTAGAATCTCGAATCCAGTGACCACCTTCAGAACACCAATTGGGTCAGTTGACAGGAATCATGCAGGGCAACTGTGGACTGTCAGTGCTTGACCAAGTGCACAGTTTAAGACCCTTTTAAGGGTGACTCAAGCAATAAGAATTCTGGGAAGTCCTGGCAGTGTTCAGTACTTCCACCTGTGACAAACAGAAAATACAATGAATGATGTGCTTTGGGGAATGGTGTTTAGGTAATGAAGTAAGTTTGAGAACACATGGCCTGAGAAAACCTGCTAGGCTAGCTGAGAGAAACCCTTCATGAAATTTGTCAAAATGACAGATTTCTGGTAAGATTCAGCCAAGTATTTCTCTTGTGGCGAAGAGCTTAATGTGAGGCTATCAATACAAGATAGTCACCAAGAAACCTAATAGGGTGAAATTCTTGAGGGACTTCCTCGGCCATAGAGTCATGGGAATATTGAAGTTAGAGTGGTTGAAGCAAACAGTATGGAAGTATTTAATGGCAAACTAGACAGTAATAAATGGTTAGAGTATTGAGAAAAACTGAGAGAAAACTTGAGTGGAGCACGAGCACTGGCGTAGACTTTGTTGATTGAATTGCCTGTTTCAGTGCTATGCATCCTCTGTAATCTGATGTACTGTATATACTTGAGTAAAAGTCAATCCCCTATTTTTGGCCAAAATTTTCCATATACCTCCTATAAAAGTTGCCCCTAGTTCCTCACAGTTCACAAATCAACATTTGTGAGTCAAGTTATTATCCTGTGCGTAAAGGTTACGATGAGGAAATGCTTTTTTTTTGTGCTATTATGTGTTTTGATGTACAATTCACATGAACGTTAGGCTACAGATTTCTTAAGTTCATTATCAAACAAACACAGTTTATCACGCCATCATTTCCTACATAAGATAGGCCCATATGCTTTTACTTCACTATAATTATCCTATCCCTGATTGATTGGACTTGCAGCTGTTGACGATTTCTCATGGCTACAATGATCGGCAAGACTAAATGCAAGTCAAATGTCTGATAACCTTTTTATCAGAAATAGAAGCTTAGAATGTTGGTTTGGAAAAACTAAAACAACAGTAGATGCGAGTAAACAGTGGGAAATGGAAGAATTTGGCACGAAAGTTTAAGATGTATCAGTTCAGAGGGAGGTTACAACCTCCCTTTGTGTGCAATTGGGCTTCTGCTAATGATGTGTTATTTTGGACTGTGGCATGAACTTCAGCCCCTCAAAAGTAGTATCCATCTAATAGTTGACCTCAAATTTAACCATAAAAAATAGTCTGAAAAATTCAACTTCACACGAGTATGTACGGTAATCATCATATAGATAAAGGTCACTTGTAAAATAATTTGTATTTTAGAGATCTATTTAAAACTTAAGTGTAAGAAACGATCCCCATTTTAAAAAAAAAAGTTATTCAGTGACTTGGTTGAGACTTCCAAAATGTAGGAGCTCCATCATGAGAAATGGGAATGAGTTTTCCCATATTTTAACTTAAGTGTCAATTTCAGAAAGTTTCATGGAGAGTTTTCCTTTGAGCCCCGGCAACTTTTCTTATGCAATTCTCCACTGCCCACCTCATTAATTACGCATCTCACCTCCATGGCATAGTTCTCGTGCAATCTTGTGGTCAGCAGAGGCAAAAAAGCTTCCTGGTCCTTCTGGCCATCGCACTGTGGGCACCATATTTAAACCTTTCCTGCACATTTCAAACACTTTAACATAGGAATAAAAGCACAATACTGTGAATGCTGGCAATCTGAAACCAACACAAAAGCTGCAGAAACTCAGCAGGTCTGGCAGCATCTGATCTTCTGAATTGTGAAAAAGAGTCATATCAGACTCGCAACATTAACTTTGTTTCTCTCTCCACAGTTACTGCCAGAGTTTTTCCAGAATTCTCTATTAGTTACAAGCCAGAAACTACCCTTAATACATTGCTCTTCACTGCCAAATGATGTGGCTGAGAGTGGCAGCTTGGCACCCCATTTTGGAGACCAGCCCTGGTGGAGAGGAAAGTCCTCTTTTCCCCAGTACTAACAATAAAAACCACAGCACGAGACACTACAATCCTGCTCTGAAGTAACCACCTAGTCACTAATATCCCTGGACTGGGAGAAAGTGAGCAATGCAACAAGAAGTTCTTCTGTACTCTGCAGGGATAAGTTGTTTTTTTATTCATTCATGGGATGTGGATATCACTAGCTAGACCAGCATTTATTGCTCAATTATTGAATTCAAATTCCACCATCTGCCATGGCGGTAGGATTCAAACCCAGGTCCCCAGAACATTAGCTGGGTCTCTGGATTAATAGTTTAGTGATAATACCACTAGACCATCACCTATCCCGCACTACAAATACTACCGTTTTCTCTCTGTTTTCAAATATCGTGGTCTACCACATTCATTGCAGAAGAAAATAGCCCACAACAAGGCAAGAAGGGTGTCAGGGTTGCTGACATTCAACTCCTCATCCCATACTGGGTGAAAATCCTTGAAGCTCATGGGTGATGACTGCCACTGCTTACGGAGGACTTGGTATGTCCTGGTAAGCTTCACTGCCGTGTGCTGCGCTACTCTCCCAGTACCACCAATGTAAGCTTATATATGCCTTCCCCCTCTAGTGCACAACTCATTCCTGGTCTTGCCTTAAGAAGGCAACAGCATCCGCCAACTCGGATTACATTTGCCTTAATGGGTGTTTTATGTAGATTAGACTTGAGCACAATCTGATGTGTGTGTTACTGGTACCGTTCCTCAGCTGGTTGAGGAAGAAATGCCCCAGATCACTAACGGTCCAAGGACTGCTGGAGACCATGTGCTTGCTCAGCCCAGGCAGAAGATAACCCTGTGGTCTCTGTTTTTAATAACTTTGTGAAAATGCACAAATACACACGAGCAGGAGGTACTTTTGTTGGAGATGTTTAGTAAATTGATGAAATGTTAGAGGAGTCCACTAACATAGAACAGTACAGCACAGGACAGGCCCTTCAGCCCACGATGTTATGCCAACCTGTTATCCTACTCTAAGATCAAACTACCCTGCATATCCTACATTTTACTATCCTCCATGTGCCTATCCAAGAGTTGTTTAAATGTCCCTAAGTATCTGACTCCACTACCACCACCAGCAGCACATTCCACGCACTCTCCACTCTCTCTGTAAAGAACCTGCCTCTGACATCTCCCCTATACCTTCCTCCAATCACCTTTAAAATTATGACCCCTCGTAATATCATTTCCACCCTGGGTATCCACTCTATCTGTGCCTGTCATCATCTTGTACACCTCTATCAAAGTCACCTCTCATCCTCCTTGGCTCCAATAAGAAAAGCCCTAACTCCCTCATCCTTTCATCATAAGACTTGCCCTCCAGTCCAGGCAGCATCCATCTCCTCTGCACCCTCTCTAAAGCTTCCACATTCCTCCTATAATGAGGTGACCAGAACTGAACACACCTATTGCAGGTGTGGTCTAACCAGGGTTTTATAGAGCTGCAGCTTAACTTTGTGGCTCTTAAACTCAATTCCCCTGCCAATGAAAGCCAACACACCATACGCCTTCTTAACAACCCTATCAACTTGGGTAGCAGCTTTGAGGGATCTATGGACATGGACCCCAAGATCCCTCTGTTCCTCCACACTGCTAAGAATCCTGCCATTAACCCTGTGTTCTGCATTCAAATTCAACCTTCCAAAATGAATCACTTCACACTTTTCCGGGTTGAATTCCATCTGCCACTTCCTTGCCCAGCTCTGCATCCTGTCAATTATCTGCATCCTAACATTATCTGTACCGGACTAGCAACAGCATCCATGCATCTGTCTATCTCCATGGACCGATTGGTGGCCAACACGGTAAGCCAGGACTAACAGAATGCTCAGTGGCTTCCAGAAATGCATCCAGATCTCCACTCCATTTTTTTTTAGGCATTAGAATATGCAGCCAAGATGTTGAGGTATTCCATATAGGACCCCCACCTTGCCCTCTTCATGACACTGTTTCAACAAGGAACAGTGGAATTGTCCCTGATGCTCTGGTCGGTATTCATCCCTCAACAAACTTCCATAAAAACAGATGACCTAGTCAAAATCGCATTGCTGTTTTTCGGAGCTGCTGCAACTCCTGTATAAGTATAGAATTGCTTAAAACATTTTGAATTGGTTGCAAAGTGTTTTACAGCATCCTGAAAAGCACTATACAAATGCATGTTATCCTTCATTTTCCTGTTCCGTATGCCCAGTGCTGGAAAGACGTCCTCATTAAGTATCAGTTGTGATATTGAGCATGAATATAAATTCCAGCATGACAGTTTGTATAGTTGAGTTCACTAACTCTGCTAACACCAGGAAAATGGCATTAAAAGCTTACTGGCTTGACATGTAAACTCAACTCCATTCTTTCCAGGAATGGGGCCTGCCATTCCTTTGTGCTTTCGACCCCAGATGACTCCAGCTTCACAATATGAGATTGACTGACTGACTTTTATGAAATTGAAACTAGTGAAGCATTCTGTTGAAAAAGAAAGAAAACTCCAGCAAACTGCTAACACTATCCCACACAACTAGGCATTGAAAAGAAGTGTAGCCTTTGCAGTGCCGTTTACGGTTCCCAAGAACCAATTTAGAAGAAGAATGATCACTTGGGCAAGATATCAGGAAACTGTCCCCATTGGTCTAACTCTGCCCAAAAAGAGAAATCAATGGAGAAAAACAAAAAAATCAAGACACAGCAACAAGATCTGAGTCCATCTGTGTTCTTGGAATTGAATTTTGACATTTCATGAGTGAAGGTATGTTGACATAAAGCTTGCATGAATTGTTTGAGTTTATAACAATTTCAACTAAGAATGCGTTTCAACAAACATTATTCTGCAAAATCATGTGATACTTGCCACAATTACTACACCTTTTCTTTTCCTTTACAGTGCTGTTATCATGACCTTTTGTACAAACTCATAAGTAGACTTTTATTCCTTTTTCAGTAAGAGGACAGTAATCTGAAAAGATCATTTGAAGCTCCACATTGAATTGTGTTGTGTGTAACAAAAAATCAAGCCTATTACTTACTTCATAGACTTCCTCCCCATGTGCATGTTCTCCATTTGGGTTTAACTTCATTCTGTACCTGAATGTTTCGTTTCTTCTGTCCATCATGTATATATCAATCCAATTTGTTTCTGAATAAAGATGGCAACATCTGGCCTGCCCTGGTTATTCTACCTTTTATTAGCATGTTAACTCTTGTAACTTCCATTACAAGCAAAAATTTTAGATACCATAATTAAAATAAAACCTGCAAGCTTTCACTCTTCCCTCTTTTTAAGTTATTAATCAGTCTTCTCCTTCAAGATGCATAGTCCTTCTTATGGCTTTCACTTTCACTTTCAGGGTCTCACTTTCAGGAATCATGGCCTCCACAGTGGTACATTGGATGAATATAGAGGATCATTCCACTATTTGACATGTAATGTACCTCTTTGTGTTTGTAGAAATGTTAGTGTTTGATAACAGTAGGTTTTGTTTGGGAGAAGTTTTAATTTATGGAGCGCAGAAATTGTTTACGCTATCCTCTGTGATGTAAGTTACTAAGCTACAAACAGTCAGTAATGGTACAGTAGTTGAGAGCTGCTGGTTTATAAACTTAGCATTTCAGACAGCAGTGTAGATCGAGAAGAAATATATCATGACTGCAATGCATTGTTACTATTAATCACAAAAGTGCTATAATACCAGAGTGCCCAGTGAAACTCCACTAAATTATTCTTCATTTAATATTTCTGACTAGCAAATATATCATCAATGTTTTACTTGCCTTTTAAATAGACATTGAACCTTTATGGCACTAGATTTTGCATGCAGAGTATGTTATCATTACCAATGTAAACAGTCCATTGTTGCCTGTTTATTAACGTTCATGGGAGTGAATCTTAATTGTGACGCAGATTCTGCATTACTGTTAATACAGAAATACATCACAAAATTCTAGAATTTTAACTAAAACCACTCCATTGTAATCCACTAAAACAGTACATCCCAAACCTTTTCCCATATTACCCCACTTCAAGGCTTGAACATTATCGCAGCCCTTTGGTGAAAACTGAAGGGGTCGGGGTTATGGAGGGGTGAATATCTGAGAGTTGGGAGAAAATAATGGCTGTGCTCTGCGAAAGCGATTGTTGCCTCAGAACACAACGCCAAAATTTCAACTCTTAACCCCACTTGAGGTTCCCAATCCCCACTTTGGAAAGCCCTGCACTAGAATCTGTAGTCAAACCTGTGTAGAATTTTGGTTAGACAACACCTAGACTACTGTGCTCGGTTCTGGGTCTTCATGTTTCAAAGAGGCTTTGTAGATACTAGAGAAGTAGCAAAAAGCACTTACCAAAAAGATACCAGAACTGAGAGGTTTTAACGATCAGAAAAGATTGAACTCAAAAAGAGAGTTTTATGAAAGGATTCATGGGGCTGATGCAGAGATGATGCTTGGAATGTGTCTAAAACTAGAGATTATGTATACAATAGTTTCAATTAAAAAAAAAGGTTCTTTATGTAGAGTGTGCTGAGAACATTGGACTTGCTATACTGTGGAAGGGGTGAGATGAACATATTACAGGATAGACATAATTGTTGTAGAGAAGGGTACAGGGAGGTAACCAGACTGTTGCTGGGCCTATAAAATTGCAGCTATGAGAAAAAATTGAATAGGCTGAAGTTAGAACAGAGGGATCTGAGGGGTGACTTAACTGAGGTTTATAAATTAATGAGGGACTTCAATGGAGTAGACAGACAATTTCTGTTTCCTGTTGTAGGGAGGTTAGTTAACAGGGGGTACAGAGGATTAGGAGGAATGTGAAGAAGCTTTTTTAATCCAGAGGATGCTGAGTGACTGGAATTCACTGCTCAGTTTGGTATTGAGGTGGAAATCCTCACTCATTTAAAAGGAACGTACACAACTATGGACAAGTGGTGGAAAATGAGATTGGAATGGATTACTCTGCCAATCAGATTTGGCCTCATTGCTGAATTGCTACTTTCTTTGTATGATTTATAATTTACAGATTGTTTGAGAAGCTCCATCAGTACATGAAGGAGAAAGGAATAGAGGAATATGTTGGTATTTTGCAATTAAATAATTTGAGATGAGTCTCATATGAAACATTAACACCAGCTTGCACCAAGTGACTATTTTAGTTTTGTAAATTATCCCCACATTTTCTGATCAAGATTGGAAATCCTATTTTCAAGCCTGATAAAGAAAATACCAACTTGCCTTCCTCCAATTTTTCCGAGTAATCTTCTAATAGAGGATCCTTCATGGCTGACTCTGGCAGGATTTCTCATAAGGAGCATTACAAGAGAAGGGTACAAACAGAAGGCACACGTCCCTTTTATGGCACAGGCTACTGTATTTCAAGTGTAAATGTTGTATTAGGATGAGTGTGCCAGATGAATATGTGGTTGTGTAAGTTTGTAGGTTGGGTGAAATAAATGGGTAAAGAGATAGGGACATGGGATGGTTTAGGGTGTCTTCATGGGTAAAATGGTGAAGTTGAGTTAGGCCAAGAGATTCAGAAGTATTTTAGATGTTAATGGAGAGTTGGTGAGGCATCAGTTCTGGTCTTGTTACCCTGAAGATTTCAATCAATCTAATATTTCCTCGTTTACAATCCAACTAAGTAAAATGGGAAATATCTGAGAAGTCCACCTTAACTCTCTGGAGACTTTTTTGGAGGGTACCAGACAGGTTAACGGCCCAGCGATAGTTTAAACATCTCGACGAATCCCCATGTATTAATTGTGTCAGGACCTCCAAGAGGTCTTGTTGTATATTTTGGGGACCTCATCCAGTCTCCAGTTATAAAAATTTCAAAGTAGTAGCTGCCAGTTTTTATCCAAAATTCTCTTCATATCTGTAATGCTCTTTATCCAATTCTAAAATGCATAAAAGAACCCTTCTTTCTTAGTGGCTTTTAAATATAATTTACTGTAGCTTATGCAATAAAATATATTGCATTTTTGACCATTCATATTTTTATTTTACATTTTTTCTGATAATGCATTGGTGCTAAATTACATGATGTTTTAGAAAATAATAATTTTTAAAATTCTCTTTTTGCTCTTAGTCTGTTTATTTCTCTTCAATGTAATAACTCAGGCAGGGTTAGACAGTTTAAGGAATGAACAGCGGAATTTCATTGGTGGTGGTAGTGTCTTTCAGATAGCACTATAAAACATGTTCCCATCTCATGGTAATATCACAAAGGACAGCATGGAGATGTAACCAATGTTACAAAAGCACATCTGATCATTTTCGTATGATTCTCCAGGAGCTTGCTGTACACAAATTAGTTGTAATATTGATTGCACTTACGAAAAGGACTTAATTGGTTGTGAAGTTGATTTGGTACATCCTGAGCTCATGGAAAGCAGCATATAATTGCAAATCTAGTGCTCTTGTGTCAGTGTGGTAGTGTCCCACCTTTGAGCCAGGAGGCCCAGGTTCAAGACCGCCTGCTCCACAGGTGTATAATATTTCTGAACAGGTGGTTTAAAAAAATATCAAAACCATAAGCAGAAGCAGGCCACTTGACCCATGGAGTCTCCTGTACCATTCCAGTGGATCATGGCTAATGTGTTAATCCTCGTTTCCATTTAAGGAGTCTTTTGTGCCACAGTGATATTGTCCCTACCTCTGAGCCGGGAGGTCAGGGTTCAAGTCCCACCAGTTCCAGAGGTATGTTACAATATTTCTGGGAAAGTTGCTTCAAATAACTGGCTGGCTGTCTTTAGCCACTGACTATTCGTAGCTGACCCTATCCTCACTCAGCAGCATATGTTGATTCTTTTTTCCCTAACTACCAACCTCCCATCGAGCGCAACTCCCGCAGAATGCAACTTCATACTGATGCTTTCATTGTCTGTGGTAGCAGTAGTGTACTACATGGTTCATTTTATGTACCAAGCTATTGAGAGAAGTTGTTATTTCAGTTTATTCACTTTAGTCACTAGAAGCCAGTCATTCATGTTGGTTTTATGCTTTTAAGAGAAAGGTACAATGGAACACAACATCTGATCACAATATGGCTCTCTTTAATATGTTTGTGATAATTTTTAAAGTAAAAACATATGATGTAAACAAATGACAGCCAGCACCTCATTTGAACTCATCCTAATGCTGCAGATTTATTGTTGCAGCAATATCTTCGTCTGATGATTAACAAGCTTATGCTGTGCTCCAGAACAAACAGTATATAGCAATTACACCTTAACCTAATTACACCTGTGGTACAGCTGAGGCAGTTTCTTGTTCATCGACCACTATTTGTTTTCATCTGTGCTCTTTGTGTTTCACTTTTACAGATGGGTCAGGGGCTGTGGAGAGTTGTAAGGAATCAGCAGCTGCAACACAGAAGATACAGGGAGGAAAGTTATTATCTTGGGGGACATGACAGGAGACTCACTGCTGCAAGTCGCAAGCAGGCCCAGATTGGGATTGACATCTACCACATTCTGAGAGTTGGCAGATCGAAGGAAGAGCACGGATTTCCAGACCTGGAGCTATTGCCCCCAGAGCTTAGTTTAACCATTCTCTCGTACTTGAATGCGACTGATCTTTGTCTGGCCTCATGTGTCTGGCAAGACTTGGCTAATGATGATGTCCTTTGGCAAGGGTAAGCATTGTTTTTATTGTTACTCATACATAGCTCTAGCCATATGGAAATTTTAAAGCTTTGTTGCCAGAAAGTGAAAGCTAATGAAGTACTGTACAGCAGATTAGAGTCAACTTTAATGCTTGTAGTCCACACAAGGTAAATTCTAGAAAATACATTTGTAAAACAAGAACAAACCTTTTTTAAATTCTGAGATGTGTTTAACAGTACGTAACATTGATTGCTGACGTATATTTGAAGGATCCTAATTACCATAGATGACAACTCTACACACAATAATTGAGTTTTAAAACTCACACAAATAATTAGACCATCTCAGTCATTTTAAAGGAGCTTTAACTTGAGAGTTGTAATCTCATAATATGCCAGTCGTAATGTTATAATATCTGCCGCTCAACTGTCTCTGTTGCTCTTTCAGATTAGTCTTTCTCATATTTGGGGAAACCATGTCTTTTGTCTAAAGGGTTAACAATATAAACAGACACATTCAATTTTAATGCAATAGATTTCTACTTTCTTGATTTGTTCCTATGGTTGCTATAGAAATTATAATGAAGAAGGTTATTTCCTCAGTCCAAAGATTCATTAATTGCAAACACAAGCACAGCAGATGGTCCATGTCTAATCAGATTTAGGCTCCACAGTACCAGCATATTTTCAAATGTTCATCTGACAAACTCGATTAGTATTTGTGTCAAACAAGTGGCCACGACGTCGACAAAGCATTCAGGTTTCCACTATGTCTAAATAGGTCTCAATGCCCCTGAAGCACCCTCAGGTTCTTACTGAGTCACGACACATTGATTCCTTAGTAGAATGTATCTTTCTGAATTTTGAAGGACGACAGGATTATGCTCTGAAACAAAGTCCCCAAAAGGTTCCGGAGATTGAAATATTTGGCCCAACTGTGAAAAGTAATACAAAGTACCAGAGGAAAACAATTTATTTTTAAAACAGCAGAAAGCACAATTTCATGATATCTAATTTTACAATGCTGTAATTCAATTTGTGACTCAGACCTTAAGACAGTAAGATAGAGGAGCAGAATTTGGCCATTGGGCCCGCTGTTCGATCACGGCTGATATGTTTCTCAACCCCATTCTTCTGCCTTCTCCCCGTAACCCTTGGTCCCCGTACTAATCAAGAACTTATCTATCTCTATCTTAAATACACTCAATGACTTGGCCTTCACAGCCCTCTGTGGCAATGAGTTTCACAGATTAATCACTCTCTGGCTGAAGAAATTCCTCCTCGTCTCAGTTCTAAACGGTTGGCCTTTCACTTGGAATTTGTGCCTTCAGGTCCTACTCTGTCATACTAGTGGAAACATCTGCATGACAGCTCTATCCAGGCCTGTCAGTATTCTGTAAATTCCAATGAGATCCCTCCCCATCTTTTCAAACTCCATCGATTAGAGATCCAAACTCCTCATGTGACAAGCTCTTCATCTCCAGAATCACTCTTGTAAACCTCCTCTGGACCCCCTCCAACATTAGCACATCTTTCCTCAGATTTGGGGCCCAAATTGCTCTCAGCATTCCAAATGTAGTCTGACCACATCCTTCTACAGCCTCAACAGTATACTTCCGCTCTTGTATTCTAAGGTGAGGAGAAAATAAGAAGTAACTGCTGGAAGCTACCCGGCAGAAACCATACCCTGTTAGGCTAGCTTACTGTTAATACCGAAGAAAGCTTTAGTAAGCACGAATCCAAGTACATTAGAATAACAGAAGCTTACACAGAAGAAGGCAATTCAACCAAAAGACGCTGATAAGATGCAGGTAAAGCTAAACCCAAGTGGCTGAAGAATTCAACAATGTCAGGAATGTTGATTTCCTGTTGAACTTGTAATAGCAGAGCCTGATTAGCATTTTGTAGATCCACTCCCGCCTTGCAGCCAATGCTTAGAAGGAGAAACCGGCAGCAGGACGCAGGAACTGGTAACCTTGGATCTGGTCCCTGATTTGACCTGAAGCAGGTTGTTAACGAGGACAATGGGAAAGTCATCAGTCAAGTCTGGGGTGTACAGTGGGCTTCTGAGATGACGAAGGCTTTCCTGGGCATCATTTGGGATGATTTCTGACCGGCCTGGTCTCAAGAAGTGCTTGTGGAGCCGCTTAACTTGGAGATTCAGAACCATTCACCTTGCTGTCACTGCTGCTGACCCCTGGCTTATTTAGTAGTAAATTTCAGAATTGGGTACCTAATTGCACTATGGAAACCCCATTTTAACTCTGGTAACTAATTATCACCCTCATTCTAACTCTAAGCCTCATGCTTTGATATCTGCCGTTGTAATAAAAGGCTTTAGACACGTGGCAGGATGGATCATATTGTAGGTATTTCATTTTTTTTTAAATATCTCGGACTTATGCCATGGAAGCAATAATATAAGTCAAATTTACTGAACGTGTGATGTAAAGTTTCACATTTTAACTTGAGGAATTTTTTCCATAATTTTAAGTGCACAAATTAAAATTCATCAGTTGAAAGTTAACCATTTTAAACTATATATATGGTCTAGACTGCACTTTTGATATTCACACTTAAGGCAAATTATTTCAAAAATACAGTTAAGCTTTACAGATAATTTAAAGTCTTTCACTTCCATTTTTATTTTGGCACATTACAGTTGTATTCCTAAAAGGACATATCCAGGATTATTATATTTCAATTTTTAGTCCAAGATAGCTTCAAGAAGAATTGAATGGTTTGTGTCAAATATTATGCATTGTAGTTATGAATATTATCAAATGTATGACAATAAATGCAAACATATATCAGCTTATTTATCATGAAACCTTTGACTATTACAAGATTTTTATCAATTTTAATGAAGATCCATTGAATAGTTTCTGCACGTTAGTATTTAATCTATGTAAAATTACTGGGAACTGTTTCATAAAACCATGTAAAAGTGATTTGTAAAAGTCAAGTGTTGATAAACTACCAATGGGCTGTATGGATTTTGTTTCAGGTTGTGTAAATCCACCTGGGGTCACTGTTCCATTTATTATAGAGACCACCCTTCAAATTTTAGCTACAGGAAACTCTACATGCAACTCGATGAAGGCAGCCTTACGTTCAATGCTAATCCTCATGAGGTAATTAAATGTTGTATGCCTTTGTCGCAAGATAATGTAAAACTTAACTTTGTCATTTGTAACAATACCCATATGTAGTCACTGATGCAATCAACTGCCAGGACTTCACTGTTTTCTGGCTAATCTGTTATCTCGGTGTTAAATGGCTGTGGACATGCATTTCCTGTCATCCAAAAACTTTACACAAGATCTGCATGTGCTCTAACAAGTGGTCCCTAGAGCCTACTGGTGTTTGTCATCAAAAGCTAATGAATTGGGGGTAAATGGGACCAGGAGATGCATGAATGGCCCTCTTATAATTAATTGCAGCGTGAAATACTTTTCTGCTCCACTCCCATTCAACCCCATCTCGTTCAGGTATCCTGATTATGACCCTCCCTCCCATTTGCTTTCCCACCTCCCCTGACTTACTTTTGACGACACAGCAACTAAATCAAAATTCTCTTCGTTGATGAACTGCATGCCCAATCCTTCCTGGAAATGAAGCCTGAAGTGAGTATTAGGTCTACCTATGGCCTGCTTCATCCAGAACAGGATTGCTTCTACAACTTACTTTGGTCATCACCTTGCAAACATAGAGTTAAATATTAAGAATTCAAATTTTCAGCAAGTGTAGTAACAAAATTGATCTTCAATTGCTAATTGAAATCCTGTTTCTTTTACATGATGATTTATCCTACTTTAAAGTACCAATTTATGCTGAATAAACATTTTTAAATGCAAAAGCACTGAAAATGTGTTTCAGCTCTTATAAAAATATATAAATGTTCCCCTTATTGTACAGTTTAGGGCTTAAAATTCTCATTTCCTCAAATGAGGAATGAAGCAAAATTGTGTTCTTCAGATTTGAGAATTAACACTATTTGGAGTTTTCAAATGTTCATACTGTTTTACCTAAAGAATAATGAAAAATAGAATTATTATAAAGCATGACAAAACTAGATAATTTGAACTGAATAGCCAAAAAGTCAAGATCCTGGACTTTTGTTTTAGATTGTTATATCCTCCTTATGCCACATTATGTGTTACTCCCTCTGCAGGTGAAAGCATGTATTTAGCATTGCAACCCTCAGTAGACTTGTGCTCATGAGGATGCTTGTGACACAGTGTTAATGTCCCTACCTGTGAGCTCAGAGTCCTCGGTTTGAGTCCCACCTGCTCCAGAGGTGTGTCATAACATCCTTGGATAGACTGATTAAAAATACATAGACTTGTGCTAGTCCCAGTTTGAAATCCTGTTTGTCTAAATGATAGCTTGCTTTAGGCCTATAAGCCACGGTCAGCACCTGATTATCAGCTGCAGTTTTGCATTTTGTTTTCATCACACTTCCAGAGATGTGAAGCAAGTGCACCTCTTTGAGATTAGTCAATGTACAAAATAAAGTAACATTGAGAATGCTGGACATACTCAGCAGGTCTGCCAGTGCCAGTTTAGAGAAAAACAGAGTTAACGTTTCAAGTCTGGATGACCCTTCTTCAGAACAACATTAAGAAAATGACATTTGAGGTCTAGCAAGCCCAAGAAATATCGCACCATAAATCTCCACCCTTTCCCAAATACTACCACCAAACAGCACCACCTCATGTCAAAGATAAAGCATGAGAAAATTGAAGCAGTTGGAAATGCTGCATTTATGGCTGATTTGATCGCTAGTTGGAGCTTCGCATGTGCATTCTTTAATTTGGCATTTAAACTTCCATCCTGTAGCTCTTTTGCATCAGCTTTGATCACAACAAAATTTTTTGAGCTCACCAACATCATTCTAATTTGGCTGATACCTGTGTTGGTTGTGCGTAAAGAACAGTGGATTTTTTAGCAGGGTGCTTCTGGCAAAATAGTATCATCACTACCTCTGGCTCAGGAGGTTCGTGATGAACAGTTGCAGCGAGTGACTGGACTATGTGGAAATGGGGTAGAGGAATGGTGAGGGGATAAGATAGCACTCCGTTGAATTCCTACCAACACAAAGAGGTTTGTTCGAGATCAATTTGTATCAGAAGCAGGATATTGCCCAATTCCATTGCTATCATTCAGTCTCCCATATGAACATCGTGGAGGTTATCATTGACTAGAAACTGAAATGGAAAAAACATTCATTCACCAGACAAAATTAGCTATTCAACTCTTTCACCAAGAGGGACAGTGTAGTAATTGGGAGCTCCAGAAATTCTGGAACGTAATAAGTAATGTTTGGAGTTACCAACTCCATAACTTACTTGGACTTTCTAATCAGATCCTGTGAGGTTGGAGGTCAGTGCAATGTTATAGTGGTGCAAATTTCTAATCCATAATTACAAGATGCTTTTAGTAAGCCCAACGGGTGCAACTGTATATGGACAGATGGATTACAAAAGCCATTTTCAAAAGTCCTTGTCTGTGATTTTTGTATTTTCCTGGGCTTCCACACTAATGTGCAAATTTCCCATTGATGGGAAGAAACTTTGAGTTAGGTAAAAGGATGACAGAAAAGTAGGACCAGTACTCCTTTGAAAGGCCTTATATCTGGATGCAGGAACAGACTCTTTTCACCTTGGTTAATTTGTGTCCTTCTATACCTGGCTCCCACTGACTGCCATAGGCGGTAGCGTCTCGACCTAAAAAATGATGCATTGTACCAATTAGTCAGGAAGAACTGAAACTTATCCAGTTGGACTGATGAGCCATCTGAATGGGGGGAAATGGCATTTCCAAAGTGTGACTGTCGTGACATCGAGGTTTGAGGTTTAAGGTTTACTAAAGTGTTGAATTAGGTTTTTTTTTTCGCATTCTTTATTGCAGTTGTTGATGTAGGAGAGGAGTTTTGAACTTAAACTTTCTGGTCAGAGGTGTTACTGCTACTACTGCAGCAAGTTAGGAGCAGCAAGAAAATTTGTAGTTATGGCCAAGTCAGAATTTTCTTATGCGATTTATATTCATTTATATTTCTCATCCCTTTCTTCATGATATTTTCATCACTCCCACAATTTAGAAGCTGTCTTGGTCCACAAAGCATTTGATAATCATCTTCATCCACGCATTCTGTTCTGCAGTGTTAAATCTATCAGTGGTAATAAATGAACACATGAAAGGTTTTTCTTGGGGCTAACTACAAGGCTTTCCATAATCATCTTTATCTGAACATGGAAGCTAAAGATGATCAGTGTTGAAGTCCAGTGTATGAGCAAACAGCCATGAGTATGTAAACATGCGGATCCCACCTATGCACTTTGCTTTTTAAATTTGATTTTTAGGTGTTGCTGAAAAATAATACTGCTGCTTTTGCAGAATATTTATTGATTGTGTTAAGAGAAATATATTTTTATAATGTTTAAATGCATTTTACAAAATATCTATTTCCTTATAGGGAATAGGCTACATTTTTCGCAAAGGCATACTGGACAATGTTCCAAAGGAAATTGCAAAGTTTATTTTCTACACAAGAACACTAAATTGGAAGAAACTTCGAATTTATTTAGATGACAGGTAACATGTTTGTAAATATGTCTGACCCCAAACCAGATGGTATTCAGAATTAGCAACAATAACTCCTGTTTATCTAACGCTTTTTACATACTGAAACGTCTTGGCAAACATTATAAAAGAAAGTCTGATAGTGATTACACAAGGAGACCTTCGTTCAGATGATTAAAAGCTTGGTCAAAGAGCTAGATTTTAAGGAAGGAGGCAAGCCAGATCAAGAGGTGTCAGGAAAGAATTCCAGAGCTAAAGATCTGGGCGGCTCATACATGGCCAGCAATGGAGGAGCAATTATATTTGGGAATTCATTGGAGGCCATAATTTGAGGAGCACTGGTGGAGCTAGGAGATGTTACTGGTGATAGGAAGGGGCAAGTCCATTTAAGGATTTGAAAACAAGGCTGACTGCTAAAGCCAAGAGCTAACATGAATCAAAGAATACAAAGGTGATGGTGAAATAAGACTGGCTGCAGGTTAAGACATGGGCAACTATGTTTTTGTATGACTTGTAATTTGCAACGATTGAATGTAGGAGAATAGCCAGGAGTGTGTTGGAATAGTGGAGTCTAGAATTGACAAATGCATGATTGATAATTTTAGCAGCTGATGAGCTGAGAAGCAGCAAAGTTGGGCAATGCATCAGAGGATACAAGTGTAATTAACAATGTAATGAGGAATGGGAGTTGCATTTGACCGGACTATATATGTATATATGACTCTTACCAAACTGTTACCTGTTACCTGCTCGCTGAAATGCCCTAGCAAGTCACTCAGTCATAGCCAGCTACGACACTGAGTGGTTCAAGATGGAGCCTCCCGTGCCACCAGCACATTCTCAGTGATTTGGGATGGGCAGTAAACGGCAGCCTTCCCATTTGGGAGTCACGTCCTATAACTAAACCTTTAAAAAGACAAATTGAGGCTGACCCTGGTTTAGAAGATGAAATTGTAAGGAAATAAACTGAGAAAACTATGCTGGTCAGCCATCACAGAACTGTGACTGAAATAAGACATTATAGTTCTATAATTTATTCAACTTTACAAAGAAAGGGTAAATAAAAACCAAAATAACTGCGGATGCTGTACATCAGAAACAAAAGCAGAAATTGCTGGAAAAGCTCAACAGGCCTGTCAGCATCTGTGGAGAGAAATCTGAGTTAACGTTTCAGATCGAATGACCCTTCCTGAGAAAGAAAAGGTAAATCTGGGCATGAAGGATTTTTGGACTTGCCAAACCAAGCTGGATCACTCTGAGCCAGCTAGCAATACAAAAACATGAATTTTATGTGGAAGGTCAGGGTACATACTATTATTAGCTGCAAATGTGTTGAACTGTTTCCAGACCATGATTTTCAGGCACCCATTAATGAGCTGTCCACATTGTGTTCATGCAGTCATGTTTTCTGAACCTCCGATTAAGTTGAAAAAAAATCAAAGCAGCAGAACGTGAGGCATAAAATAAACAGAACTAAGTACCAAAGCTGGCCATTTGTAATTTTGTTTTAAAATTGCAGAAAAACATGTACAATCTATTTATTTAACTCACCTTTTATAGGCAATTAGAAGAGAAAGTAATCTGTACAATTGCATGAGCTAGTCATGAATATCTCATTTGATTATTTCTCATACCTATTGTTGAAGAAAATATCTTCCATTGACAACTTTCTTGTAAATGATTTCCTGCAATTTCTTCTGAAAATCTACAAGATATTTTTCTTAATCCAATACTGTTATTAATTTGAGCTAGGTTTCTTTATCATTATTATTCAATTTTCTGGACAATACTTTCATCTTTGTTCTATCTTTCCAATTTCCTCGTCCACATCTCTTCCTCACTGCTGGCCTTGCTCAATGTATTCTAATTGAATATTTTACCCAAGTGACAGAATTCTTGTCTAAATCTTGATAGTGAATTGAAAATAGCGTCTTTGCCTGAAGGGACCTTGCACAAAATTTGATTCTGTTCTTGCTGGTCGTGTTTGTGCAGATTCACTTAATTAATTGAACACCAGAAGGGAGAAGCAATCCTTGTTGGTTTTCAAACTGGACTCTGAGGTCATTTTGTCATGTCCAACTACTGGCTATCTCAGCACTCGGAACTGAAAGTGGAAATTTCCGTGTGGCACAGCACTTCACTCGATAAATTTAATTGGAACTTTCAAAGGTGTTAAATGAAGTGATGATCCATTGATGTAAAATATATTCTTTTTGTCTTGCTGCTTTTTTTTTAGATTTACAGCTCATTGTCTAATACTGATATGCTGATTATAATAAAAGTATTTTAGATTGGATTAAGAAATGATGGGTATGAGG